CCGGGAAGTACGAGCCACGTACCCGGGAAGTCCCCACTAAGTGCCCAGGAAGTACCCGCCAAGTACCCAGGAAGTCCCCGCCAAGTGCCGGAAAAGTACTCGCAAAGTGCCAGGAAAGAGCCCGGGAAGTACTGGCCAAGTGCCCGGGAGGTTTCTACCAAGTGCCCGGGAAGTTCTCGCCAAGTGCCCGAGAAATACCCGGGAAGTACCTACCAAGCTACCGCGAAATCCCCACCAAGTGCTCGGGAAGTACCCGCCAAGTGCTCGGGAGGTTCCCGCCAAGTGCCCGGGAAGTCCTCGCTAAGTACCCGGAAAGTACTCACCAAGTTACCGGGAAGTACCTATAAATTGCCCGGAAAGTACCCGCCAAGGGCCCGAGAGGTTCCCACCAAGTACCCGGGAAGTCCCCGTAAAGTGCCCGGGAAGTAACTCATAAGTGCCTGGGAGGTTTCCACCATGTACGTGGAAAGTCTCCACCAAATGCTCGGGAAGTCCTCGCCAAGTGTTCGGGAAGTACCCGGAAAGTACTCGGAAGTACCCACCAAGTTACCGGGAAGTCTCCCCCAAGTCCTTGGAAAGTCCTTGCCAACTACCCGGGAAGTACCCGCCAATCACCTGGATAGTACCCACCGAGTGCCTACCAAGTACCCACCAAGTGCCCGGAAAGTACCTACCAAGTTCCCGGAAGGTTTCCACCAAGTACCCAGGAAGTCCCCACCAAGTGCCTGGGAAATCCTCACGAAGTGCACGGGAAGTACTTGGAAAGTACTAGGAATTACCCACCAAGTTACCGGGTAGTCTCCACCAAGTACCTGGAAAGTCCTTGCCAAGTACCCGCCAAGCCCCCGGAAAGTACCCACGAAGCACCCGGAAAGTACCCGCCGAGTGCCTACCAAGTACCCGCCAAGTGCCCGGGAAGTACCCACTAAGTGCCTGGGAGGTTTCCACCAAGTACCCAGGAAGTCCCCACCAAGTGCCCGGGAAATCCTCGCAAAGTGCACGGGAAGTACCCGGAAAGTACTCGGAAGTACCCACCAAGTTACCGGGAAGTCTCCCCCACGTACCTGGAAAGTCCTTGCCAACTACCCGGGAAGTACCCGCCAAGTGCCGGGAAGTCCTCGTTAGGTGCCCGGGAAGTACCCGGAAAGAACTCGGGTAGTACCCACCAAGTTACCGCGAAGTCACCACCAAGTGCTCGGAAAGTACCCACCAAGTGCCCGGGAGGTTCCAGCCAAGTGCCCGGTAAGTACCCGGGAAGTACCCACCAAGTTACCGCGAAATCCCTACCAAGTGCTCGGGAAGTCCTCGCCAAGTGTTCGGGAAGTACCCGGAAAGTACTCGGAAGTACCCGCCAAGTGCCCGGGAATTCCTTGCCAAGTACCCGAAAAGTACCCACCAAGTTACCGGAAGGTTCCCGCTGATTTCCCGGGAAGTCCTCGTCAAGTGCCCGGGTATAAAACTTAGAAATTACCCGGGAAGTACCTACCAAGTTACCGAGAAGTACCCACCAGTTGCCCAGAGAGTACCCGCCAAGTGCCTAGGAGGTTTCCGCCAAGTACCCAGGAAGTCCCCACCAAGTGCCCGGGAAATCCTCGCGAAGTGCACGGGAAGTACCCAGAAAGTACTCGGAAGTACCCACCAAGTTACCGCAAAGTCCCCACCAAGTGCTCGGGAAGTACCCGCCAAGTGCCCGGGAGGTTCCAGCCAAGTGCCCGGGTAGTTCTCGCCAAGTGCCCGGTAAGTACCCGGGAAGTACCCACCAAGTTACCGCGAAATCCCCACCAAGTGCTTGGGAAGTACCCGCCAAGTGCCCGGGAGGTTCCCGTCAAGTGCCCGGGAATTTTGAATGTAGTAGTAGTAGTATTTATTTAATGGCAGGGGGTGCGCATGAACTCCACTACGTCACAATGCAGACTTGAATATTAACCTCCGAATTTGGTGCGGATACTATTGTTCTGCATACCCTCCCAGGCAAAAGATATTTTAAATACTTATAAAAAAATAATGTTAAAATTA